AATACATATGCATATTTTTTATACAGCTGTATATATAGAGTAAATAATGCACAAATCTGTACATAAATCTTCTGTTCCAGATTCATGCACATTATTTATTGTTAAGTCTTATTTAAATGTTTCTGTTCTCATGTCAGATATGTATGTATATGTATGTATGTATGCATGTATGTACCAAGAGCTTCTTAAAAACCACAACAAATTCCTTGTGTGTTTGCGCACACTTGGCGAATAAAGCTGATTCTGATTCTCTCGTTTTCCCCGTTAACTCCGCAATGCGATCCGCTCTGAACAGCTGGTAGACCGGCAGATGAAACACGTTATCCGGAATGGCTTTACTCAGCCAGGTTTCATTGAAGCACAGTGCAGCAGCGTATGAAAAGTCCTTGTTGGTGCGGGTGAGGAGAAGAAGTTCATCCGTTTTGTTAGGAAGGGTCGGACATTCGCAAGATGAATGCTTGGGAGTGCAGTTCGAAAGCCGCGTGCGCGGAGCTTAACCAGGGTGCCGGCGCATTTCCCTCTTCTGCGTCTGTACGCGCGTTTGAACAACATAGCTGTATCTCCGACTAGAATGTCCAACAAAACGTCCAAATAATCAAAAACCGGAAAGAAATATTGTCTGGGATGTGTTGCTTAATGTTAAGGAGCTCGTCTCTGGTAAATCATATAGAAGAAGAATGACAAAACTCAGAACAAACAATCAAAAACATCAGAAGAATTGCAGAGCTCAGCATCGTGGCTGCCATTTGCGGCGCCATCTCAGGGGCGGATTAAGGTGGTCAGGGGCCCCTAGGCTGCTCTTTGTGTGAGCCCCCCCACTGAAATGTATTTAGGGCCATACATGGTCCACATGCAAATAGTAAGGTGAACTGGCATACACACACATTGAGACAGCCAATCCTACAGTGTTTCCACTACATTCCCAGTGTCCCCACAGGATTTTGTGAGACTGTGGTGGGTGCACATTCGTTCATCTAGGGGGTTCCAGGGGTATGCCCCCCTGTAAGAAAATTTTGTTCATTTTAAATTTAAATGCATACATCTGGTGCATTTTGAGAGCAGAATCAAGTGACTAGATCAATGAAGAAATATGTGCTCTTGTAAACAATTTTGTGCTCTTGTAGTAGTTTATTTATTGGTTGCATAGATGTGAATGTGATGGTAGGGCTTAATTTTCACTATATACATTCTTATAAACGCTACAAATGCTATTCTATCAAGAACAGTGAATGATTTTCTCCTCATCTTTTGTTGTTTGATTATCATTAAAGTTGACACTTAACTCAAGAGACGAGACATGAGATTGGGTTCACGAGAACAAGATGAGGCGAGATTTTTACACATTTTTAAAAAAATTCTCAATGATCAAATACACGACTGGAAAAATAGTCTGCAGGTGCATTTTCAATTGTTTTAACTAATCATCTGGTAATAAATGCCATTTAGTTCTACATTCTGTGTATGAGTTATCATATGTAGTAAAAGACAACAACACTCAAGCACTGTAAAAGGTTTTGCCACAAACTCAACTGACTGGCTTCTCTCTTGTATCATTTCAGTCTCTTCAGATCTTAGAACTGTACATGAATTATGAGCTTCTAGAACATTTGACCTCCTAACTGACCGCCTTTTCACAAATTGAACATAGAAATAAAAAAAGGAAAAATGACAAAAAATAAAAAACATAGTTCTTTCTTAGTTGTATTAAGTGCAAACAATAAGTGCAGCCATAATCAAAAGCTACTCTCTCAATATTCAAAGTGCAAATAGAGACCAAATTTTCCAAGCATGATAACGAGCTATAGACAACTTCACAACCTATTATAGCCTACATACTAATAACAGCCTAGATATGTTATGTAGCCTAATTTGCGACCTTCAGAGAGTCGGTTTAAAAATGCAGGGAATTAAAATCGCTTTTACTTTCGGTTTCGATTTAACGATCGTGCGAACTCTCGGCGGTGCTGAGCGTGCATTCTACAATACAAGACATTAATTTTGTCAGAAGCTCTGCAACGAATCCTCCTTTAATGTTTCTTATGGGCCAATGAGGGTATTTTTTGTTCACGTTGAAGTAAATTTAAAATAATAAAAAAGCAGTCTGGCCAATCCGAGGCCCCTGCACACGTGGGGCCCCTTGGCTGCAGCCTAGGCAAGCCTGTGCATTAATCCACGCCTGTATATATGTATACAGTAACATAATAATATAATGATATAATAATATTTCAACAGTGGGCCTTACAGAATAACAAAGATTTGAACATTAAAAGAACCTTAGAGAGAAGTTACTAAATAGAGCTGTTAATGACCTTCCTAACATAAAAGGTGTTGGTGAAGTTGTTTAAAATTATATGTCGATTATCTCAACAGGGAGTAACTCATTTTATTTCCGTGCCAATTAGCAGAAATAGAATGCACAGGGCTGTGATTTGATTATTATGCAGTGGTTTGACAATGATAAAACAAAGTCAATGTCTCCCATTCAGACTCTGCTATTTAAAACGTGTGATCAGGTGTTCGCACCTTTGTATTAATAGAGCTGACTAGTTAAACCTGTCAGAGCTTTTTCCGCTGCTTGCTATTTCCACTTCTTTTTTGAACGTGTGAAGCAGCTGCTGTGTGTGATGGTGAAACAGCGTCACATTTTTAGAGCGATTGGAAATTTGATAATGAGATCAAAGAAAGATGCCTAAAAGATCATGACTGTCACTCACAATCGTGTCCTGCACTAGCAGTAAACAGCTTGAGCAGCTGCTGTCATCACCCCGACCAGGAAATGGAACAGCACAGAGGATCTGTACATTTTACGTCCTTTTTCAGGATCTTAATTCTAAGCTTATGTAAAACAACTGTTTTTTCAGAGTATTTGCTATGTCCTACTTGTCTATGATTTTGTACATTATGAATATCTTTCCAAGAAAGCATAATGACGGAGAGAATGTTGAATACAATCACAACTCATCTGCTCTATAATTAAACTTCAAAAATAATGAGAAGAAGGAGCCGACATTCTGTACAAATGCACAGTATTTTCTAATTACGCAAAGCAATCTTGTTCATTTTCTGTAGCATACATTTAATGAAAGAGAAGGAAACATTTTTTTTCTTTTTCAAAATGACTGGAACTGCTGAGGATAATGATGTTTTCTTTAATGATACTGTCCCTATTTTCTCCCAAGCAAGCACTATATTGTTGATTTATATATGATAAAATTTGATGGCAAAATACAGAAAAAAAACACCTGTATATAATCATTATGCTTTTGGCATTTTTCACAAATAAGGTATAAAATGAAACATTTAAACTCTTGTGTCAGTGAAAAGAGGTGCATAACCTCCTGAAAATGTTGAATGCGATCCTCAAAATAATCTAAAAGCAATTAAATCTACAACAGTGATTAATATTATGATAAATATTACAAAAGCAATTAGAAAGTCATACATTTATTTTAAATGTATTTTATACCACATTTGTGACATGTTAAAATACAATTTAAAACGCTTGATTTGTGTAATTTTATTTCTAGCACATTAAATTAACACCATAATTAATTAAACAAAATGTATCTATTAAACAAAAACCTTTGGAAGCACATTTAGCTAGCTAGTTTGGAGCAAAATATTGCTAGTTCTCATGCTATGTTCATTTAATCTCACATACCTCATATTTCTCCCTGAAATATATGGAATTGATGCATTTAATGTTTACTGTAACACTTTTTTAAGGACCAATTCTCACTATTAACTAGTTGCTTATCGTGCATATTACTAGTATATTGGCTATTTATTAGTACAAAGCATATATTAATGCCTTATTTTGTATGACCACAGTTTAGATCCCTTAAACCCACCCCATACCTGAATTTACAACTACCTTACTAACTATTAATAAGCAGCAAATTAGGAGTTTATTGAGGCAAAAGTCATAGTTAATAGTTAGTTAGTAGTGATAACTGGTCCTTAAACTAAATTGTGACCATGCTTACAAAAAATATAAATAAATAAATAAATTAATTAATTGGACAGCAAAATGTACTATAATCATAGATGGCGCCTTTTTAATTAACAATGATGTCAGACCTTTTTTGCTTAAAAAAAATTAAAGTTATTTTCACTGTTATCATTAAAAATGCAAGTGGCGTCACTGGTGCCACCGTCGACACCAGGAGGTTAAGCCCTTCTAAAAATACCTTATATGTGAACCCAGTCTTGATGAAGTTCTTCTCCAGGACATTGTCCAGGGCAGGATCCAGTTCTTCCCCAACATCTTCAATGAGTAGGGGACGCCCAAGAGACAAACTGTCCTCTAGATGGTTTCTGAAGTATTTGTGATTCAGTGAGGTGATCTGTGAAAACAGGAATACCTCATTACTGACCCAGCTCAAGTTCTGCTACTGGGGAAAGCTATTACCTGAGGTGGAGGTGATTTGTTATGAGGTCATACCTCTGAAAGGGTGTCTGACCTCTTAAAAATAAACCATGCATCAGTGCAAGCTGTGCATATTCAATTTTATTTTAACATGAATCGCAAGAATATAGATGTTGAACTTTTAAATATGCAGAGGCCTATTGCATCAAATTATTGTACCTTTACATATAATAGCAACATTAAAACCTATTTTAAAAACAGTGTAGCTTTTTAGTCATTTCAGTAGCAAGCTGCTTTTACCATTGACAGTATAGCATGATAAAGTGGATTTTATGTAGCATTTTAAAGGCAATACACAAAAACAACATTATGATATTACGATTTTACAAAAAAAAAAAAATCACTGTTTTTAACGCACTTACTGTATATAAATTATAGTGTTTTCATGATTTATTTGTGGTTTACTGTAACACCTTTTTAGATTGTAGTTTTTATTAGTATAGCTAACTATTTTTCAGACTGGTATAGCTAAGCTGTAGTTACAGGCTACGTACAATAATGAGTAGCTTGACAAGCTACAATTAAAGCGTTACATTTATCATGGAAAATACCTTCTTCAACACTGCAGTGCACTTCAAATTATCTATTGAACCACGCTGTGCAAATCATATTCCTATTAAGTGATCACCTGAAGCTCATTCTTGGACTCTTTGTTCTTGATCCAGATCTTTCCCTGGGTCTGGGGGCCAATCAGCAGGGGAAACCTGGCAGCCTTTGTAACAATAATCCCATTCTGGATGGACAGGTCATCATTGGGAAGCCCCTGTAGGTTCCATTCACTTACTGTGGGAGCGTCAATTAACATTTCAGTGAGATTCAGATTGGTCCTAAAAGGAATCCGACGGGACTTCATTTCTCTCTGCCAATCAGTGAGAAGGAAGTTGCGAAACACTTGATTAAAAGGTCCAGAGTAGGACAGGAAGGCTGTAGCCAGAACCACGTCACCTAAGCATGGGAAATGTAAAATTAGATTAAGACTTAAAAAATAGGATGAAACTCTATGTCACTGCTATATGGTTTTATGGTTTTATATGGTGCTATATGGTTTTAGCACATTGTTGCTAGGGTGATCTAGAGAGTTGCTAGAGTGTTGCTATGGTAGTTGATTACTGATAAAAAATAGCTATGTAGAAAGATTTGAGGTATCATTCATTTCTATACCACAGATGGTGCAGGATAAGGGCATGCTCAATGGAGTTCTGGGTGGTTCCTACAACAATGCCCAGGGGTGCGTTTCCCAAAAGCAACTATGGTCGCAAGTTCCGTCGTTACCAATAGAGTTCAATGGAACGAACCATCTCTGGGATTGATTACTTACAAAAAAGTCAACCCAATCGTGTTATTGCAAATAATATTGCCTGAAGGTTTTATGTAAACACATACCAACTAGTCGTTTGGTCTGAGCAGCGAACTCTTTACTAAGCTGTGTCCAACGCTCCTTCTCTCCTGCCAGCCCACTGATCAGACTAGAGGCGGTTTGCATCTTGTGTCGACACCTTTCTGCATCCTCCCGTAAAGTCTGAGGAAAAAGAGGGAGAGAAGGTAAAATGGATTCTGTCACTGTGCACACTGTGCAGCTGTGCTTGTTCACATTTATTGACTGAGAGTGTCAGTTTATTTCAGTGTCATTTAATGTGCCCTAACAAAATTCACATTGCCTTATCATTTAATAGACAGGTGTGGTTTCTCAGGACACCTGTTTCAGTGATATCTGTCAGGAAGTATGGAGATTTTATATATAAAAAAAAAAAATAATAAAAAAAAAATATACCTTTCTTCATTTTAATTCCCAGTGCAAATATGCCCACTTCTTTCAATGTGTGGAAACAGGTAAATTATAAAAACTACTGTATAAAGTCAAGCTAACGATGCTTTTGGGAAACACACCCCAGGTTGGGATCTTTTTTGCCTGTTTTATCATCTACTAGGTGGAAATTGTACTGTATGTTTAATCATTTTTACAATTTAATGACTAAATCCTATGATTTGACATTACTTTTCATAGTATAAATGGTAGAGACCATGTTATACAAAGCTACAGTAATAGTGATGCTTGCCTGCTAATAATACAAACACTAATAAGCACTCCCGATTTAATATCTTAGCTTTGCAGTTTATATTTAAAATAATGATATATAT